CATCTCGAGACCTACAAAAGCTATAGGGCTGAAACTTTGGAACTTAATCCACATGCTTGTGCGGGTCGCCATCCCCAAAATGGGCGTTCTTACCCGAGTGGCATCCACGCACGGGCCCGCCAAAGTTATTTCCGGGTAAGTTTTTAACTCGAGAATATGAAAAGCTAGAAGACTGTAATTTTAAGAGGATATTCCCCGTCCACCTAAGTCTCATTGCGCTCAAACCCAGTCTTCGGGTATGCGTGATTCCCATGTTTGGGCTCGCCAAAATTTTTTTCGGATAAGTTGCTAACTCGGGAACCTGAGAAGCTAGAGCATTGGGATTTTACGGAGATGTTCCCCATCCAAGTGGGTATTAATGAGCTCAAACCCAGCTTGCGGGTATGCGGTATACCCACGTGCGGGTCCATGAAAGTTTTTTTCGGGTAAGACGCTAAATCGGGAACTGAAAAGTTAGAAGACTGTGATTTTGAGGGAATGTTCCTCATTCACGTGGGTATTAATGAACTCAAACCTAGCCCCCGGATATGAGTGGTTCGCGCGTATGGGCCTGTAAAAGTTTTTTTCTGATAAGTTACTAACTGGGGAACCTGAGAAGCTAGAAGGCTGGAATTTTGAAGGGATGTTTCCTGACAATCCTGGCGGCCGGTCTGAAATTTTTTTAGCTAGAAGCATCTGACGGAAAAAACAGTGCCGTTAGCGACAAAAATCTGCAGGGAGTTGTGCAAAAAACGAATCTTCGCACAGGCCTAGCGCTGCAACAGGCAATAATAATTGGCCAATGCACGGGTTGCCCGTACGAAGATGCGTTTTTTGCATAGCTCCCCGCGATTTTTGTCGATAATGGCGCTGTTTTTTTCCCGGCAGATGCTTCTAACTAAAAGAATTTCAGACTGGCCACCTAAGAAATTGCTGGCCGCATAAGAAACTGCAGAAAAAAATCACTTTTCGGATTCGCAGGGAGCTGATTTCAGTTCAATATAGTATTTGATTTTCGGTTCAGTACCACTTGCACGCACAGTTATCCAGCTACCATCTGGCAATGTAAATGTAATCATTTCCGATGAAGTACTGATCGGT